TAACCCAGACTTACGATCCCTGACGTGGAGATGCTTTGATTTACTGCCAGATTCGACGGTCTCGATTCGAAAGGGCTCATTTAGTTTTCCTATCTTTTGTCAGTGCCCTTCCATGAACAGGGTTGAATACATTTCGTTGCCGATTTAGCCAATTTCTTGTGATACCAACACAAACTCGATTTGCTTTGGTTGCATGAATTGTTGCGCGAACGATCGCGGGAATCACGAGGTCGCGACCTTGAACGACGACGATTCTCATTTTGTACACGATCGACTATAGTCTTCACAGAAGCTAATTCGGATGTAATTAAATCTAATTTGCCTCCAAACTACTAATGGCTTTGTTTGAAGGAAAAACAGCAGCGACACAATTACTAATAGGCGAGGTTGCATCTGAAATTTTGTTAGCAGTAGTAGCAAATTCATTAGGTGAATTAAATGTCAGAGAAGCAAATATTACTTAATTTTGAGCAGGCAACTGATCAAGAAATATAGTCCTCAAAACATCATCAGAACATTTGCCGTTGCTCAAATTGCGAATGCGCGCCAAAATGTGTGACGGTTTGCCAGAATTCAAAATTTTGCCCTTTAAAAGTTGTCGAATTTGTGCTTCAAATGAAGCTGAAAAAGTCGAAATCAGTGTGTCCTTAATTCGCTGATAAATGTCGTCTTTAAATCTCATTTAGCAATAACAAATCAGAAATGCTAAGCGCAACATCAGAATCTAATTCTGCGATAACGATATCGGCGCAAGATTTTTCTGGTAAAATCGAGGAATCCGAATGCGACGTTTAATATCGTCGATATTAGGATGATCATATGTATTTTGATGATCAATAGCAGCTTGTCCTGCAGGATTTGTAGTTTTAACCTGTTCCGTGAGAATGCGAACTTTTTCTTCAAGTTCCTCCATAGCTGACAAAAAAGAAAAAATCAAGGAACAACCGTAAAAGGTAAACAAAAATAAAAAAAATTTTAATTTAAATATTTGATGTAAACTTTAAAATTTATAAAATTTATAAAGCGAACAAAAAGAAAATTTTTTTAAATAAATAATTATTCGGGTCCACATCTCTAAAAAGGAAAAAATCGCGAAACAAATAAATGTCAAAAAAATAGTACGTTTGAACGCAACAGCAACGTAAAAAATTATTTTCAATAATAAAATGTCAATGTTAAAATATCAAGACGATACAAATTAACAAAAGAGACAAAATAAAAATATTCTTGTCAGAATCTACAGCTACATTTACTTAATTGAATCAACGTTAAGAAATAAAAAATGATTCCTATTGTACATGTGAAAAAAAATTCAAAATTCTAATTGATACATGCATCCACACACAAAAAAAACGCGCGGAAACGCCAAATTTAAAAAATTAAGCAAAAGACAACATAAATTTGTTGAAATAAACACAATAAAATATAACAGTGAAACAAGAAGAGTTCGAACATTATAAAGAATAAAATAAATTTGATATGACGTACAATCATCTTAAATCATTTAAAAAAAAATACTCGTAATAATAAATTATTAGAGTAAACTTTAATTTCAAAATTGAATAAGAAAAAAATTATTCTTTAAAATAAGATTTTAAAAAAACTATTTGAATAATTAAAAAAAGAAAAATAACAATTTTTAATTAAAAATTTTTTATAAGCGAATCGAGGAAAGAATCGAGAAATTTAAAAATGAGCTGCAAATTTCGTTGAATTGAATTCGCTGGACTGTACAGCTGTTGACATCACGATCACATGTTAGATGTGTTCGTCGTTCCGCGAATGGTTCTATCATACTAAGCAAAATCATGACGTAGCATGACGTAGGCAGGCAGCGACGACAGGATGGGAAATTCTGCGCACTTGAGACCAAGCGCAGAGAATCCACAGGAAAAGCTATACGTCACTGGTGAAAAAATGGCTTCCTTCGAAGAAAATTTTGGCGTCCAAACATTTCTCCAAATAGTAAAATATCCCAAAAATGACAATAAAATCGTTGGTATTGCCAGAAACATCCGTAAAAAAAATTGACAGCATTTAAAGTTGCTATGACAGCAAAAGACGATGGAAATTCATCCTTGCCAAGAATCTTGGGCGGGAAAACGAGACTGACGTCACATCCGTCATCAGGAAAAGGCGGTTTTTCACATAAACAATATTGAAATTTGTTTTCAAAAATTCATAAATCACTCAATTCACTGGCAAATAATATGCAAAGACAACAGTGTTTTAGATTGATTAATATTACTTTTTAAAATGTAATGCCATTTTTCAATTAATGTTCCCGGCTGATAATATATCACATCCGGCTAAATATCGACGAAATCACGTGCGAAAATCACTGGTAGTCCATTTGTTAAAGTTGCAAAATAAATGCAAAAACGATGGAAATTATTTCACTTGATTTGCACAACATGTTGTTTTTGGTAGTCGGGGTCACCAATGTGGAGATTATTTGAAATAAATGTTTATAATAATATGGTTCTCCTAACCATAATTTAAAATTTATTTTGACTACCATAAATAAGAACCATAATAACAATTATTTATTTGAATATATAAAAATGTGCACGTGTGTACAGAACTACACTATCTAATTGCTTACGCATAACTGACTAACTCTGTCATACCTACATCATACGATTTCTTGCCTAGCGACGGTTGCTAAGGCTCGAGTCAGCCCATATTCTCATTTACGGTGAGGGGAGCGGATAGATTCAAAATTTCACGTTTGTTTACACTTGCTAACGTCGAGTTTCACAATTTCTAATAAGCAAGCGATATTGTTTTGCTTTTGATTATACAAAGCTTGTGTCAAATAGAGAACTTAGATTTTCTGCTTTAATTCTATATCAAATTAAAAAATTATTCTCATATAAATATTCAGAAAATTGAACTTTTAAAACAATAATTTTAAATATATCATGCATAAACAACAAATATTAAAATAATTCATTAGTTTTCAGCCCGAATTGATATAGTAATGAAAAATAAGTACACATAATCTATAAATTAGAATATTAATTGATTTATATTGTCGAAAAAAAAATTAAATGAAAAAAAATATTTATAATATGGCCATCGTTAATTTCACATGTTATTTAATGTGGGTTTTCTAAAACTCCCAAAGATTCTAAACAAAAAGCGATTATATTTACATTATTTGGATCAACCAAGAAATATCAGGTTGATTACTTTCCACAATATATGACATGTTTCGCGCTTAAAACCTTTTATCTTTCGGTAAAATTTCTACACGAAGGTGTAAAATTACTGAAATGACATATTTCACATATGCTAATCATTTACTTTTTCCGTCTTCAAACAACTTTTTAAAGCTGTGAATTCACATGTATTTGCCACAACCTGACCCAGTTGTCGACGGCCATATTGTTTTGTGATATCATGATTTCAGTTCCCATAGCTTATTCAATAAAAATTCTATTAGTATGCGAAATTTTTTCTATAACACTTTAAACCCTTTTAAAGCATAATATTTAAAAAACAACAATAATGCTGTGTTTTTTATTAATAAAAAAAGCATTATATATGAAAGTAAATAAAATAATAAAATCAGATATTGAATAGAAACTAAAACATCTAAAAAATATTTCAAAAAACCAAAAAATATATATTTAAAAAAAAAACAAAAAAATTTTTGAATTATCCGCAAAAACTATCTACTTTTTCGTGGTAAGAATCGGGCAACACCAATTAGGACTAGGTGGCTAAAGATAGTTCAAACATCAGATTCGTAATCAGCGATCTCGAAAACCCTAGTGTAAAATTTTTTAGCTAAATAGGTCGACTTTAAAATTTTTTCGGTTGCCACTTTAAATCCGCCATTTTGATTTTTCAAATTCTGACATTAAATTCGTAACCAGCGACCCCGACAACCCCCGAGAAAGCATTTTCAGCTAATTTGGACACACTTTAAAAAGTTTGGCACATTTAAATAATTTGTTGCAATTTTTTGAAATTTTCGACGCCATTTTAAAAAATAAAAGTCGGGAGAAGAGGGGGAATATTTTTCGTTTAAAGTTTAACAATCGAGTGCACGATTTATATACTTGATAGCTGTCAGAAAAATTATTTTCTTTTCGAAATATTAGTAATTTTATTAAAAAATCATTAAAAAATCGCGTCATTTTGCAAATAAACATTAATAAACATTATGTTATGTATTAACATTTTTTTAAAGTAATGGGCAAAAAACGGTTTTTTAAAAATTTCAAAATGCAAAAAAATAATAGTTAATCTTTATTGATATTGCTCAAATTACTCTTATTATTTGTCCGACAATGAGATCTACAATTTAAAAAAATTTATTCTTTTAGCTCTTATAGGATTCGAGATATTCAAGAAAATGTAGTGTTTATACACACCCACACACGGAACGACATTTTTTAAAAATGTGATTTTTGTATTCCTGAGGTTGAAAAACGTAAAGATCCTTATAAAAACAAAATTCGAAAAATTTCAGTATTACAATGCTTCCTCCATGAGGAAGTAATAGTAAAATGTTCGAAAAATATCAAAGTATCTATTACACGTGTAGTTCCACGTGCAACAATTCTTAAATTTTTAAAAAATTTTTAAAGTATGAATTACACGTGTAAAAGGTTTTAAAATATACGTGATATATTAAAGTATAAAATACACGTGTTACAATTCATAAAATTTTCAAGAAATATCAAAGTATCAAATACAGGTGTAATTCCACGTGTAAAAGTGCATAAAATATTCGAGAAATAACAAAGTATCGATTACACGTGTAGTTCCACGTGTAACAATTCTTGAAATTTCAAAAAAGTTTCAAAGTATGAATTACACGTTTAAATAAACGTGTAATTTATTGCAAAATGACTTTCAAATTTATAGTACGTATTACACGTGTAATTAATGTGGCCAAATCTACATGTGTATTTTTTTCAATAGTTACTTTAATTATACGATAAAAATTGCCGTATTCTAAAGCACATTCTATATTCTTTTTTCAGTGTAAGAAACCATTAAATTGCAACAAATAAACCAGGTAAGTATATTCCGACGTGGACTTTATCGCTAAAAACGAATATCGTTTGAATTTTCAATTTTTTAAGCTATCATGCAAATATTTACGTTTTTTACAAGTTTGGCGGTGGGGCGAAGTGGCGACTTTACAATGGGGCGTGTTGAAGAGTTAAGAATATTGTAAAATTTATTTTTATGATGCATTCTTAGCTCCATGGTGCGAAAATATACGAGAAAAAGTAAGGCCGAATGAACAAGTGACTCAAGAAACAGTCGCTGCTGTTTATACGAAAAAATTAAAATAAGTTTTATTTTAATTTCATTTTAAGTGTTATTATTTACATATAATTTAATTATTACTAATTTAAACTTTTTTAATAAATAAAAATAGCATTATATGCATTTATGCAGTTTTATTACAGAAAAAACGAACTCGACAACTCGCCCCACCTTTTTTGAAAATCACGGTTTTGACAACTTTGATTTCGACGTCTACAATTTAATCCACATATTAGATACGTAAAAATGATGCTCAGCAGAGTTAAAGCTGAAGAATCAAGCTTTCAAATAAGAGAATGTTCATTAAAATTGATTCATTTTTGCGACTGCTACAGACTTCCATATGTCAAACTCGACACCAAGCCCAACTCTACTCTATATATTAAATATTGTTCAAATATACCTTAAAACAGAATTACTTTGATCATTGCGGTTAAATTCACTCACCAATTTATCGGCTTCAAATAACTTTGAAATAAAGTTTGATAATTTTATTACCAAGTACAGAAATTAAATTTATTAATAAAAGGAGTGAAATTATTTTAGTTTAAAGATAATTTGAATCAAATAAATCGATGATCAAATTTAACAGCGTTTAACGAAATAATTCCGTCTGATGGTATTTATTTGTTCATTTCACTGAGGTTTTTTATTTATTGCTGGTTCATGGAAAAACAATTGTTATGAAAAAATTTATAGAATTTTATGTTTTTATGTATCTTTATGTTTTTCAATTTCATTAATTCAATCCGGTGGTCTTTAACAAAAAAGGAATGCAATGAAAATGAATCCAAAATTGGGTTGTAGGGGATTTTTCTAGATCGCTTGCAGTAGAGATATATATAATTATAAATTAAACATAAATTTGCTATTTTCACTAATTCGGACCTTTTTTTAAAAAAAATAATTACAAACGAAAGCTGAGATTTTTTTGCAATTTGTATACAAATTTTCAGAATGCTGATTTTTTTTGTTTTCGAGATTTTAAATGTCAAAGATGTTATGTATGCGCGCGCGGCGAGGCGATCGACTCACACATCGCCGCGGTACACAATGGGGCAGAAGTCTGAAAACGTTCCGAAAACCTTAAAACATTCTCCGATTTATACAAAACTTGATAAATATACGTTTTTTGGAGCAATGATTACGTATTTGAAATTAATTTTTAAAAATTCAAAATGGCGGATCGAATTTGGCAATTTATTTCTAAAAAATTAATCGATTTTTATGAAAATGGTTCTTAGAGTTTTTTAGGTCGTTGATTACGAATTTAAAGACAATTTTTAAAAATTCAAAATGGCGGACCCAATATGGTTGATAATTTTTAAAAAATTAATGGATTTTTATAAAAATGAGTATTCGGGGTTTTTTAAATCGCTAATTATGAATTTGAAGTCATTTTTTAAATACTGAAAATGGCAATTCTTTGATGTTTTTTAACAATGTGAAAAGTTATATAAGTTTTATATTAAATGTTGAAATGTATTTTTTATCATTTTATAAAGACGCCTGATTGGTCAAAATCGTAAAAGACATTTTTGAATATTTTATTTAAAAAAATTACCAATTTTGTTAAATAACTAATATTAATGTAATAATTAATAAAATAAATCATTATATTTCGACTAATTAGTTTTGCAATTTTTTAATTAATCTTTCCGGAAGACGTAAGAGTAATTATGAGTTTTAAATAAATAATTAATATATACTATTTTTTTCAAAATACATAGAGCGCTATATCCGAAAAATATAAACTTACTGCGCAGGCGTTGTTCTAGAATTTTAAGACGTGTATTATTTTATTAATAGTTGAATTTAAAGCTTTCCGAACAGATTCTACTTTTAAAATAATTTTATGTATTTGTATGTCTTTAATCAGGTTTTGAAAATACAATGGTAAAAGAGATTGAAGGTTGTCCCATCCCAGTAGTATAACTATGTCACTCTCAGGAATTAGTTCCGCGGGCTGCCGCTAGATGGCGCCACAGTCGCTTACCGCCGGTCGGTATTAACCCGCAGTCGGTAATGTAGATACTAGTTCCGCCGGCTACCACTAGATGGCGCCACTGTCGGTCGGTATTATTATCAGTCGGTAATGTAGATTTCTATATTATCAGCAGGTAGGTTATGTTAAGCAGATTTAAAGACTACACGTGTAGTTGGAGCTACTGTCGTTTTGTACTCTGAAAGGGTAAGGGGGTTTTGTAAGTGGAGGGGATATGTGTATATATAAGTGGCTCAAGGTATTAAGAATAGCAGAGCGACAATGGAGAAAGCAGCCAAGCAGACACCATAATCTTATCCTCCGAAGATGGCCAAGCCGATACAATCATTCTATCCTCTTCTGAAAATGATATGCAGGAGAGAGATATTTGGAGTCCAGGTTACTACACCCTTGAGGATTATGATTATGTAGATGATGACAATGAGGATGTCGGTGGTGGTATCCTGGGTCCCAGTTTTGAAAATGTTGTCTGGATTCGAAACTCGGCAATACAGACTGACGATGTAAATATTTCCTGACACAATTAAAAAAAATATTAGAATTTAAAAAAAAATTAAAATTTTTTAGTAATAATTTTTAAATTTTTTTAGTAACAAAAAATATTAAAAACACAAACTGCAACACAATCAAAACCAAAGACAATTACAAACAGACAAACTCCAATTCCACCAAAGACAATTACACAAATATCAAGGTTAGTAAAACAAACAGAAACACAAAGAAAACAAACGCCAACACAACAAAAATTAAGTAAAAAACAAATACCAAAAACTGCAAGCACTACAAGTATACGAACATTAACACAATTTAAACAGCCTAAAACACCAAAACCAACAATAAATCAGAAAAAATTAAAGAAACAAGTACCAACAAAAAAAGCATTACAGAAAACAAAACTCTATTTACGATTTACACCACCAACACCTACTAAAGAGGAAGTACAAAATTTTGTTGTACCATTACACCTTTCACAACCTGCACCTCCAATAAGCCCATTACGGCATACACCACCACGACAAACACCACCGCCACAAACAGAACCAGAAATAAATGCACAATTAGACAACCAAATTTTAAATATTTACAAAAATCTGCAGAAATTCAGGTATGATTCCCTCACAAAATTTAAATAAATGTTAAAAATATCGTATTTTTTATTCATTTTTTTTTATTATTCTTTTTTATAACATTTATGGTGATATTCATATATATATATATATATATATACATATTTCAGTTGTTTCTTTTTGAGATTTTAGTTAATATCTTTATTCTTATTATTACTAGTATAATTATTACACCGTCCGACACGATTTTTCACACACGAAAAAATCAATGATTTTCAGAAACTAGGACCAAAAAAAAGATACCCGTGTCTGGCCGTTTTGCTAGATCAAGTCATTTTTTGCTTTTAGGGGTAAAAACAACCCTTAAATGAAAGGTGATAGGAAATCTTGTACAAATAAATAATTTTTTATGAAACCTGGTATCTCGGGGTTTTCCGGGTCGCTGATTACGAATCTGATGTCAGATTTTCAAAATTCAAAATGACGGATCCAATATGGCGGTCGAAATTTATAAATAATAATTATTTTTTATACAACTTGGTATCTAGGGGTTTTTAAGGTCACTGAGTACGAATCTGAAGTCAGAGTTTTAAAATTGAAAATAACAGATTCAATATTACGTTTCAAATTTATAAAAGTTCTTCGAATTCACTTGAAACTTGTTACTTAAAGGTTTTTGGAGTTGCTGATTACAAATTTTATGTCGGGTTTTCAAAATTCAAAATGGCGGATCCAATATGGTGGTCGAAATTTATAAATGTTATTAATTTCTTATAAAACTTCGTATCTCTGGGTTTTTGGGGTCGCTGAGTACGCATCTGAAGTTAGATTTTCAAAATTCAAAATAGATCTAATAATGTGGAAGAAAACAATATTTAAAAAATAAAAATTTCCACATATGTGTTTTTTGTATATTGGACAAAGTTAAAACAAATGACAGTTGTTTATATGTTCGTTTTCAGTTGCATAGTTACAGATAATAGTACATAAAACAAATGACAATTGTAGACTTTTTTACTTTGCACATCAGCAGTTTTAAACAATCACTTTACATCTTTAAATTTATCTTCCTTGAGCTTATTACTGTTATCTAATAAAAATATTCTTACTTACTACAAAGCCTGTTTTGTCATTAAAAAAGTGTCCAATATACAAAAAACACATATGTGGAAATTTTTATTTTTTATATATATTTTTCTAATCTTCTACATTATTAGATCTATTTTGAATTTTAAAAATCTACCTTCAGATGCGTACTCAGCGACCCCAAAAACCCAGAGATACGAAGTTTTATAAAAAATTAATAACATTTATAAATTTCGACCACCATATTGAGTCCGCCATTTTGAATTTTTAAAACCCGACATAAAATTTGTAATCAGCAACTCCAAAAACCTTCAAGTAACAAGTTTCAAGTGAATTCGAATAACTTTTATAAATTTGAAACGCAATATTGAATCTGCCATTTTCAATTTTAAAACTCTGACTTCAGATTCGTACTCAGCGACCTTAAAAACCCCTAGATACCAAGTTTTATAAAAAATAATTAATATTTATAAATTTCTACCGCCATATTGAATCCGCCATTTTGAATTTTGAAAATCTGACATGATTAAATTAGGTAAACAATTAAAACTCATATTTAAATTTATAATTTTTTTTATTATTATAACAAAAGTTTCTTATACATACAAATAACATTCATATTTTAGCATTTTCTTTAAATTCCATATTATTATACGGTCCTCCAAGATAGATCATTTGTAGCGTATTATTGGATGCTGCTTCCATCATTGATGTCCAGGTGTCAGGCTCAAGTTCAAAATGTTTGTAAAATCGGCTAGGCAGAAAGACGTTGAAAGTTTTGTTCATTTCAGCAACGACTCTATCACCATACTTTGACTGAAACTTTTTAAGCTTCTTGATAGTGAATTGTCCTCCCACAGTTAGCTCGGACAGCGGATTCGTGGGCAAGAATTTCTCCATCCGTCCAACAGCATTGATATTTGAAAAGTCCATGTTGCTTCTCAGAGAGTTGTCCTTGGAGATGCTTGTCGTCCAGCTCAGAGCAGGTTGAATGGCAAATTCACCTCTGGCTTCACCAATTTTATACTCGAAAATCATCCCCTTCCTCGTGCTAATCTCAATCCCCACTCTAAATGCTCACATATATTAATATGTATAGTTGAACATTTGCAATGGCGCCTCCGTCGTATATCTCCAGTCGGTATTACCTTTGGTTGGTATGTCGGTTGTGAAATGGCGCCACCGTCGTATACCTCCAGTCAGCATTACTCTTCGTTGTCCACAGTTAAAAATATAAATTTCTACTTTACCATAAGTTGGTAATGTAGATTTTTAAAATTTTAATTTACACTTTAAAATTTTCTTGGTGCTGGCTTTGGTTCCCTTGGTGCTGGCTCTGGCTTTGTTGTCCTAGGTGCCGGCACTGGATTTGTTTGCCTTGGAGCTGGCACAGGTTTCTGCTTATTTGATGATTCCATTGTTCTTCCTTAAGCTTACTGATAAATAATGAGCAAATCAATTTAAGCTTTCTAAATTTATATACTTCTTACTTTATCACACACATGCGCATTACCATTCTTGTTTTTATTTTATAATCATTAAAATAATCTTAAACTAATAGGATAGGATAAAATCAATTAACAATTTAGTTTAACTTTAAAATGTTTATTTATAAAAAAGTTAAGATGTTTCATAAAATTTTTTAAGCGATTCCGTAGAATTTACAGTAAAATATTCATTATGATTTTCAACTTCATCTACACCCTGATCAACATTTCTTACATCACACTCATTTTTCGATTTTGTAAGCCAGTTTCTTAACATTGATGCTTTGTTTACTGCACCCCATTTATTACACAATGTATGATAGGTACAAACATATAATGAAGCTTCTAATTTAAGTTTTTTAAGTGAACGTCAATTAAAATCTTCAACGTTTCGTACATTAATTACAAATTTTTCAAGCCACTTTTTTTTCTCGATGCCCTTTACATAAATTTTGCGACCACCAGCTAACAAATCCTGCAGAAGTGATTGTAATTGATCATACGGCACAACACCAGAGGTCCATTTCAGCCTATGGTAGTTGTGCATCAACCATAGATTTTCACTCTTGTATCTCCCAGGTAGAAAACTCCAACTGCAGGGTGGCTCGAACAGGAACACCATTGGTTGAGCATCTTCCTCAATTGGTAGAATGGCCAGCTCCTTGAAGATGAAGTCATTGTAGGGCCTTTTGAAGCCTTGGATGTCCACAATGAAGTCCATGGTTGCAGCAACTAAGAATTTCAGTTCATATTCCTCCTTTTTATACTTGAGATTCACCCCCACTACTTATGTTACTTTTTTAACAACACCACTGATTGATTTATATTGTATAACTCGATCATGAATAATCAAGCAATATGCAGCTGTATTAGATAGGAAATTAGCACTCGATTTAAATTCCAAACGTACTTCAATACAAGCTTGCTTGAGAAATTCGTTTTGTTTTGAGCAATCTATGACAGCCAATGGTGCATAATCTTTAAATAAACTTTTGGTAAGTAGAGGTTCAGAATCTTTTCCATAGTATGATGCATGAAAGTTACAATACATGTCATACAGAATAGAAAATTGGTGATGATTAAAATCTAAATTTAAATTTCCATAGGGATAGTATTGTGAGTTTAGGAATAATTTTACATTTATGAGATTACAGTTGTCAAAAAAGTTGGCATATCTCGTGTGATTATCTATTCGATTGGTTTGAAAACCTAAGATAACATATCGAGGTTTTTCAACTTGTGTAGAAGTTTTTACAGTCCAAACATGTTTCTGAGTCGCAGGTATAATTAGATATTCATACATTTCCCACGATCTAAAACTCATACTTATAAATGTTCAATAAATCTTAATAATTCAATTTTCTGACGGTCACCCACAAATAAGTATGGTATCATTCATTCAATTTTATTAATCGAAATTCTAAATTCTTCACGCTCCAGACACTGAATATTAACTATAGCATTAAGATCTGTCCGAGATATTGTCAAAATAATTTCATGTTTTGTATTTACAACTATTTTTCGATAGTCTTCAGCAAATCCAAGAATCATACTCAATGGTATATTAACATCAAAATATCCATCATCATTTGTCACTCTACTGATATCTTGAAAGTCAATATAACCTGCATTCTCAGCGTAAATTATCTGACTAGGTGTTTGAGAAATATAAGTTATTGAATCTTTTGGTTTAAAATTTATTTTCATGCTGCTTTTAATTTCACTGCGTAACGTGTTATTATTTGGTTTTATATTTATAACTTCAGGTCCATCAGTAATGGGATTTTGAGTATATTTTTCAATGTCTTTAATTTCATAACTTCCAGGAGGGATAGTAATTATTTTATTTCTAACATGAAATTTATTTTTTCCTTCATCAACATTAGGAATGGAATTAAATGTTAAAAGTTCAACAAGCCCAAGAATGTAATTTTTATTTGTAACAATTCTATGGGAGGAAAATATTCAGCCTCTAATACAGAGGAATTACCAGAAATGGTCAGTGTGAACGATTCATCCATGATGATGTCTTTTTAAAAACTGATTGTTCACATTACTTTTCCTTCATTTATATACTTTTTAACTTACTAAAGTTTTTTGAGATAAAAATTTAAGACACAAATGACCACAATTAACAGTATTATAGTCTTGATAATTTTTATGATTATACATTATTAAAGTATAATCACCCAAATAAGTTACGAGTTCGTATAGTGGTTGAAGATTGCCAAAACTTGCAAAGTACTGTGCCTTATTTTTAATCTTTTTATATGCAACCCAATGCGTTTCAGGGCCATTTTTATCATCAAGGTTAATAATTGCTGATTCATTCTTTCGAGGTCCTCTTTTTGGTAAATCATTCCTCATAAATACCCCCCGAAAATGAGGAATTTTTAACTCCTTTGCGTATTTCATCAAATTATAGTTAGTTAATGCTTGTTGAGGAAGTATTAGAACTTTTTTTTAAAACATTTTCTCTTTTTTATTCCTTGTCCTTTTGTATAGGGTTTCAAGTGAAGTCCCCCACCTTTGGGAAAAGGTTTTAAATGAAGACCTACTCCTTGTCGATAAGGTTTTAAATAAAGTCCTTTACCTAGTTTAACATCTTCAATGACTTCATTATGACGTTGAGCTTCTTTTAACTGTTTTTTCGCATTACTCGCATCATTTATAGCTTTCGTTACTCCAGCAGCACCTCCAGCAAGAGCTCCAAGAGCACTTAATCCAGCGAAAATAGGAATAAGTGGTAAAACACCACCTACTTTTGAAGGTATTGGTAGAATTCGAGGTGTTAAAATCTTTTTTTTACCTCCTACTTTCTCGATAGCTTTTCGAGCAGTTGCAATAACATCTTTGATTGTCGATTGAGCACTATTACCTGGAATTATGGAATTTCTTGCAGCATCAACAATTTTACGTAGTGCCGTACGTTTCACCTTCGTCTTCCTCCTCCTCCTCATCTTTTTCTTTTGCTTCTTTAGCCCCATGCCTAATTTTGACTTGACTTTCATAGTACCAGATACAGCCAAAGCAACTTTTTTTCACCTATACTAGCGTCGCGTGCAAAAACACGTTGTAATGCCTTTTTAGCTAGTATCCTATCAGCAACGTTTCTTGCTTTAATGTTATCTGGATTTTTTGAATATGAAATATCGTGCTCCTTACAAGCAGAATTTAAAGGATTCACACCAGGATCACCTCGAGCAATACGTTTTATTGTCAGGCAGTATTCGTGAAATATTCTGTGGTCCATCAAATTATGGAAAAACAAATGTACTTTTGTCTTTAATATTACATCCTAATGGTCTCAGATTTGATAATATTCATCTTTATTCAAAATCTTTGCAACAACCAAAGTTTAAATTCTTGGAACAATTGTAAGTGAAGTTGATGGAGTTGAGTATTTACCATTCAGTGAACATGAAGAAGTAATTTCTCCTCAAAATGCAAAACCAAACTCTATATTTATATTTGATGATGTGGCATGTGAAAAACAAGATAATATTAGAGCATTTTTTTGTATGGGTAGACATGTAAGCGTTGATAGTTTCTATTTATGTCAAACTTATGCAAGAATTCCAAAACATTTAGTACGAGATAATGTGAACTTGTTAGTTCTTTTTCGTCAAGATGAAAAAAATTTAAAACATGTTTATGATGATCATGTGAATACGGATATGACATTTTCGCAATTTCGTGAATTATGTTCAGCTTGTTGGAATTCTGACAAGTAAGGATTTGTTGTAATTGATAAAGATAGTCATTTAAATGAGGGAAGGTATAGAAAAGGTTTTGACTGTTTTATTTCACGATAAATAAAGATAATTTTTGAATTTGTTTTAGTTTAAATTGAGACCTTGATATATCAAGGTGTATAATAAAGAGAAATAATATTTACATTAAATTGCTAAAGCTAGTGAGGCAATTAGACGTAAACATCGTTTATTTACATTAGGAAAAGAAAATGTTGAAAATCTGTTGAACGAAACCTTCAAACATATAGTTGAACCTTTACAAAAAATTATTACCATAAATGACATTAAGCGTGAAACTTTTAAAACGGAAAGGATAGAAAAGGAGAAAAAAGGTGAAAGTAAAGAGGAAGATGATAATTTAAGTTTTAAGAGTATTGAAGATAGTGAATCAACAATAATCCCAGACTTAGAGTATGATAAACTGTTAAATAAGTATATTTACTTGATAGATCAAAACAGAAAACAGTGTTTGGATCTAGTATATGGAGTACGTAAGATGCGAGATGGATCACTTCTGATTGGTGATAAACCAATAATTTTTAATCAACAGTTTTTGAATGTTGGAAATAGACGTTTTAGCATTACCCCTGGATTATTGGAACTTTTATTTAAAAATAAACCGGAGAATTCACACATTAGTGATCATGATATAAATAATTATAAGCAAATTCTCATCGACTCCAATGCACATAGAAAAAAATACAGTGCTTCTGAACCTATTAATATAAGTAAAAGTTTTAAATACACTAATGTTATTTCAAATCTATTTCCTCATTCTGTAACTCCGAAAAGTAAGTCAAAAACTGGTACATCACTTCCAAAATTTATGATTACAAAAAGAAATTTTCAACCAGACTACATCTATTGGGATGATCCAAATGAGTTAGATGATCGTTTGAGACTATTTACTGCATCACAAGCAGCTGGTAATCCAAGTCATAATAATGAAATTATGTCCATTATTGAAGAATTAAGTGAAGCCAAAATTATATATTAGAAGTTGTTTTATCAACTACATATCAGTTTCATAATGAGCATTGATGTATTCGGACATCCCTTCAATAAAGGAAGAACAGTAGCAGCAAAACGAGGACCACCTGGACCATCTGAAGTTGGTTTTAAAGTAGATTCAGAAGACAATTATGACTGTGGAGGGAAAAGAATTTGTAACCTTGCAAAAGCTAAAGCAGAGGGCGACACAGTTAATTTATTACTTATTCAACGTATGATAGAGAACGAAGTGCACTAGTATATCAAGTCACGTCTTCATTAAGGTTAGACATTGATAACAGTAATGTGTTGTTAAAAATTTTTGAAGCTTCGGTAACAGATAAACTACAAAATCTTGAAAAACAAATAAATGAAAATTTTCAAGACATTAATAACAGTAATGTGTTATTAAAAACTCTTGAAGACTCTATAGGAGAAAAATTAAAAAATCTTGAAAGACAAATTAATCAAGATTTATCATATAGAAAAGCAGAAATTATTGGTGAAATTGATGCTCGTTTGAGAGTTCTTGAAAATGAAACGAAAATCCTTGAAAAACAAACAAAGAAAAATATATTGGATACTGACAACAGTAATGTATTATTAAAAACTCTTAAAGACTCTATAGGAAAAAAATTAAACAATCTTGAAAGACAAATAAATCAAGATTTCTTATATCGAAACGCTGAAATTATTGGTGAATTAGATACTCGTATGAGAGTTCTTGAAAATGAAACGGAAATCTTGAAATACAAACAAAGAAAAATGTATTGGAGACTGACAGCGGTAATGAGCTGTTAAAAACTCTTGACGGCTCATTGTCAGTGTCAGAAAAATTAAACAATCTTGAAAGACAAATAAATCAAGATTCATCATATAAAAATGCTGAAATTATTGGTAAACTGGACGTCGTTTGAGAGCTCTTGAAAATGAATGACAAAAAGTTGACAGTAGTGAATGAACTTCACACACAAGCTCGACAAAATTATTCTCGACGTCGAGTTGAAATGCGTGACATTGATGATACTTGGCAAGCAGATTTGGTTGAAATGATACCATATTCCAAAGTTAATAAAGAATTCAAGTACTTACTTACAGTTATAGATATATTTTCCAAGTACACTTGGTCTGTTCCTGTAAAGAATAAAACTGGAAAAGATGTCACTAATGCAATGAAATCTATATTTGCAAAAGGACGTAGTCCAAAAAATTTGCATTGTGATAAGGGAAAAGAATTTTATAATTCACAATTTGAGGCTTTAATGGAATTGAGAAAAATTAATTTTTATTCCATCTATAGTAACCTGAAAGCATCCATCGTGGAACGTTTTAACCGAACACTCAAAAGGAAAATGTGGATTCACTTTAGTTTCAGAGGAAATTACAAGTGGTGTGATATATTACCTAATCTCATTTCCAAGTATAATGATACAAAACATCGCACAATTGGAATGAAACACAAAGTTGTCACTGGAGATCATGTTGAAACTTTGAAAGAGCGATTCTTCAAACTCAGAAAAATACCTTTCAGAAAATCAAAATTTAAAATTGGAAACAAAGATCGAGTTAGCAAGTATAAAAATGTGTTTGAGAAGGGTTACACACCGAATTGGACAACTGAACAATTTACTATTGATAAAGTTAAACAAACTCGACCTGTGACTTACATGCTAAAGGACTACCAAGATCAACAAATTAGCGGAGGATTCTATGAAGAGGAACTTCTTAAAGTGAAATATTCCGATGTATATCTTGTTGAAAAAGTACTCAAGATGCGTGGAAATAAAATTTTTGTTAAGTGGTTAGGCTTTGATAGTACTCATAATAGTTGGATAGATAAAACAGACTAATGTTAAAACAAAAAAAGAATCATTAATGAATCATTAATGAATCAACAATCAATCACTAATGAATCTTTTTGTAATATAGGTAGATATATATATTTAAATCAAATGAATTTACCCTTCCATACACACACACTCACACACACATATATATTTTTTTTTGAAGCCTGAAAAACTTGGTATTTCTTAGTGGTCACCAAGCAAAGTACTAACCGCGATCAACGTTGCTTAACTTTCGTGATTGACTAGAACCACCAAAGTCCACCGTGAAACAGTAGCTTCATAGCGTTGAACGATTACTTTACAGTCAAATATCGTCCTCAAGATTTTTTCATATTAAGTAGATAAAAGAATATTATTATTAATATTAATATAATTTAATTGATAATTAGATATTTTTAAGTTTTATGTTTCGAAAAAATACAAAAAATTATAAAATAGTAAAATAAATTTTTTTATAATTCTAAACATATCATATAGGTTTTTAAAATTTTTAACTTAATCAAAACATAAAATTTTTATGAATTTATAAATTTTTATTTATATACTTTATATTATATATAAATAAAATTTTAGAAAAAGGGGAAAATATCTTTTCATAGTTACATTTAAAAATCTATTATACAGATTGCCCGCAATGACGCCATTTATTACAACAAAAGTACACGATTAATAAATTAAAAGTTTAGTTAATTGAAATAATAAGTCATGTCATTATTTTGATGACAATAGTTGTTTCAATAAGTTGGGTATCAATGAAACATGCGTCAACTCTCCCTTGAGGAACTCTAGTGCCCTGTTATTACAAACAGACAAAAACAATGTCTTACATCTGGACTACTCGATAAGTCGTTTAACTTCCGTGGAGAGAAAATCTTAAATGTAGATCACCTCGGGCCTTTTGTAACCTCGACAAAAGGTAACAAATATATGGCAGCGATTTGTAATCTCACAAAATACGTTCATTTATATGCGGTAAAAGATACTATAGCGACGACGATAGTTCGAAAATTGAAAGAATGGCGAATGGCATTAAGCACATGCTCTATTCGATTCGCCATCCACAGGCCAATGGCCAAGTGGAGCGCTTCAATAGCACCATTTTAACAGCACTTATTACTAGTTTGACTGATTTGAACAGCTATCACTTTGCATTTTATTGGCCTAAGTTTAAAAAATATATTAAAAGTGAAATTATTGTTTAAACAATTGTGAAAATAAATTATTACTGATATTTAAATACTTATTTTTTCATACAATGAATGACATTAGCTTGTATGAATTGAAAGCTTTTTTAGGACTGCTTTACTTAGTTGGGTATTTTAAATCGAACAGACAAAATTTGAAAAATTTATGGAGAAGTGACGGAACTGGTGTAGAAATGTTTAGAACAGTTATAACGCTAAAAAGGTTTCAATTTATCCTAAACTGTATACGAATAGATGATAAATTCACAGGTGCAGAACAAAAAGTAACCAATAATTTGGCTGCTGTTCGATCATTCTTTCAAAAGTTTGTAACTAATTGTCAGGAAACATATTCGCCATCAGCATACGTAACTATTGACGAGCAGCTACCGTCTTTTTGAAGCCGTTGCAGTTTTAGGCAGTACATGCCTAACAAACCTGCTAAATATGGACTTAAAATTTATGCCATGGTAGATGCAGAAACATTTTACGTTGTGAATCTCGAAATGTATCCAGGTAGACAATCAGCGGGACCGTATGATTTCAGCAACAAAGCATTTGATGTAGTTAACAGGCTTGTTGCTCCTATATCAAAAACCAATAGCAATGTAATTTTCGATAAGTGGTTTAAAAGATATCCATTAATGTTACTGGAACTTTACGAAAAATAAAGCTGAATTGTCAAAGAAAATACTGGAAACACGAAATCGAAAAATATGTAAATCATATTCATTAGGTACTTGATTTAAATTAATAATTTTGTACACAGTTTTAATCAGGTAGAATGCTGAGAGCTATTGCTAAAGTAAATAGAAAAAATATAGGTGCGTAACACGACAAGTACGAACCGTTGCGTCGATTGCGCAGGAGCATTGCCTACTTTAATATTATGTTTCTCAAAAAATTGTTGTCGTCCCACTTTTATATATATATGTAGCTTATTTAAAAAAATATCAGCTTTACAATAAAAATTTAAAAAAATTTTTAAATACCCGAAGAGGTAAAAATAGAAAAATGATTTGAATGAGTTGATTTTGAAAAAAGAAGTGAAAAAATGTTTTTTTAAATTTCTTCAAGTTTAATTAAAAATTTTTTTACTATAAAAATGTGCTGTAATCTTGCAGTGCAAAGTTTAGAAACAGTAAACAGATCGCTATTTGACATCTGAGAGCATTAAAATAAATATTTCTTTCTAAAAGTGCATTGTATTTATTTCTTGTCTTTATTACCAACTTAAGAACGAAGAAAAAATAAGCTATTCTATTTTTTAACTACAATTAAATAAACGACAAATTATAACATTTCTTCTAAAATTTATGTTCTTAAATAATTCAATTCTTAATAAAAATCAAAGAGGAGTAGTTTTGATTTCGTTTTGTGATTTGTTACGGACGGAATTCCGTAAAATTTAATTTTTTTTGTTAAATATTATTTACTAAAAATAATATTAGTTAATATATATTACAAATATGTTATCAATTTTACACCAACAACATACACAATACACATATAATATAAATTTTCTAATGCTAAATATTCAATTATTATTTCAAATTAATTTAATAACTATTTATAATTTTATTTTTCATTAATTTTTTTAATGGTTATTTCTCAAATGAATTGAGATTATTGAACTTCATATTTCGAAATAACATGAACTAAATGACAAATCGATTTTGCTAATTCTGGAACTTATAATGTACAGAAGTTGACACATTAGTTTGAAAAATTAGGAAACATATAAAATATACAAAGGTAATTCAGGTGGTTGAACCGATCATGCCACTAATAAAATGCAAGTTCGCTAAAACTTGCTTGGAAACAACGAGGTGTTGATTGCAAAATCAACCTCTCTAAAATACCGTCTATCCGGGTTTATTGAATTGATAATATACTAAGGTATATTACGCGTATTACGCGTATTACGCGCGTTAATAGGTGTAGTTGTTTTTTATTCCACATAAAAATCTTTATTT